CCCCCCCCCCCCCTCACCTGTTATCTGAGGCTCACCCTATTGCACTGTGTGACTATGTATGTAAATGTCTGATTCCCTGTTATCTGTGTGTGTCATGAGGGGGAAGGGAGGGGTTGTAGCCCTCCCAGTGTCTCAAAAGTGAATGTCCTTTGTTTAATAGAGGAGTTGCTCTTTCTATGTTGAACCTTCAACATGAGTTTTGCCTCGTGATTGGGGGTTAGGGGCTGGTTACTGCGAATCCGCTGGCTGAGAGTGGGGTTTGGGGGCAGGAGACGCTCTTTGGCGGAGGTACCCAGTCGGGGTACCAGGCGGTCCGTCACACCGGCGCTTTAATTTTTCAAATTGAAGTGGCTACCTTAGATCCCGCGCTTGCTGGAGACCTCGCGGCAGCCTTCCACGTAACTATACTGTTTACAGCGTTTCGGCCTGTCTGCACATCTCCCCCTCCTGACACACTCCGCAGTATATATATATAGTGGGAAAAGTCATTTTCATTTTCAGCCTGACAAATTTTGCTGCAGGAGGTGCGTTGCAGTGCCATTAATTTCAATGGATCCCAAATGCACCTCCCGTTTGCAGTGTGATCCCCCACACTGAAACGCGCGGTACTGCAATGCCCTGTGTTCCAGTGCCGCGATTTCAAAAAATTTGCATACCGTTTTATTCTGAAGTAAACGTTATGTCTGAAATGCTGCATTTGTGTATTTTATTTTAAATAAATAACGGTATTAATTTTTTCAAATTTTATCCGATTAATTGATTAATTGAAATTAATAATCGGCTAACTATTCGTTTATGAAAATAATCATTAGCTGCAGCCCTACCTGAGACCCTCAGAACCCTTCCTGAGACTCTCTTTACCCCCTGAGACCTTTCTCACCCTTCCTCAGACCCACTTCACCCTCCTAGGACCCTCTGCACCCCTTCTGAGACCTTTCTCACCCCTCCTGAGACCCTCTTCACCCATTCTGAGACCCTCTTCACCCCTCCTGAGACCTTCTGCACCCCTCCTGAGACCCTCCACCAGAAACATCAGGCCAGCACTCCGGAACAGAGCGGCAGCTCAGAGTATGTAGCAAATACAGATATTCATATACTATTATTCTGCATTGCTGTATAATGTATTGCTGGGATTTGTAGTTATTTAAAGCTGATAGTAATATTCTGCATTGTTCTATAATGTGTTGCTGGGATTTGTAGTCTTCTACAGCTTGGAGTCACTGGCAGAACTATGTAGCTTAGCTATGTTGATTTGTTTGTTGTAATACTGCTACTGAGCCACAATCCCTAATTTCCCCAGATAAAAAAGCCCTCCTGAGACCCTCCGTCTGAGAAATTAGGCCGTTTCTGCCTAAATTTAGCTGTCGGACAGATGGCCTCACATTTGACTCTAGAATACTTTGGTATGCAGAGAAGTTCACAGTCGACTCAATGACTGCAAGGTGCCCAAATTATCACCCCTCTGCCACTCTGCTTGACAGTTGATATGAGGTGTTTGTGCTAAAATCTTGTATTTGGGTTTCCCCAAATGTGTTGCTGTGCATTATGGGCAAACATCTCCACTTTGGTCGAATCTGCCCAAAGGACATTGTTCCAGAAGTCTTGTGGTTTGTTCAGATGCAACTAAGCCATGCTGCCATGTTCTTTTTAGAGAGAAGAGGCTTTCTCCTGGCAACCCTTCCAAGCAAATCATACTTGTCCTGTCTCTTTCTAATTGTCATAAACTTTACCATTTTACATGCTAACTGAGGCCTGTAGAGTCTGAGATGTAACTCTTGGTTTTTTTGCAATCTCTCTGAGCATTGCACTTTGGGTGAATTTGCTGGGCGCCAACTCCTGAGAAGATTGGCAACTTACATAAATGTTTTCCACTTTGTAAAATGATGGACAAGGATCTGCCATAGTTTTGTAATAGTTTAAAAATAATGCAAATGACTTATGACCCATGACAAACTTCAATTAACTTGAATTAGTAATAAAACTCAGTCACAAGTAGGGCTAACTCTTGATTGTGCAGTAATATAATCATTGAGTGGATTTTTGATATATAGTTCAAAACGATGGCAAGTTCCTCCAACACATAAAGCATCTCAGAATAACTTGTATTTGTTACAAAACTTTCAATTAGTTATATGAAAAAAGGGGTTAATTCTTGGTCATGCAGTACCGTGATCACAGACTTGCCCAGGTAACCTTAGATTAGACCTGGGCATTTTATGGATGGCTGACAGTGGATGCGCCAGCCTCCAAGGTGCATCCACTGCAAGCCATAGCCCAGCACAGGCCCCCTTCTCTTCAGTCATTGGTTGCTAGGACCACTGGTGTCCTAGCAACCAATGACATCAGGTGTCTACCTCCCCGGCAGTCATTGGTTGCTAGGACTGCCCGGCAGTCCTAGCAACCAGTGATGTAATTTGTGTTCCCTGTCCCCAAGCATTACAGGAGGATGGAAGAGTGTCTTCTTCCGTCCTCTCCTGAAGCATGCTCTACCTCCCGGCTCCCGCCTAACAAATAAAACAAATAGGGTATGTGGGGACAATAATATAAAGGGACATTCTAAAGGGCACAAACAATGTAAGGGGACACTCTACTGGGAAAAACTAATAATTAGTTGTCTCCATCAGTGTGCCCCCTTACATTGGTTGTCCCTATCAGAGTGCCCCCTTACATTAACTATGAAAATAAGGGGGCACTCTGATGGGGACAATCAATTTACAGGGACTCTCTGACGTGGACAACTAATTATTAGTTCTCTTCATTGGAGTGCACCCTTACATTTGTTGCCCCCATCAGAGTGCCCTCTTTCAATAACAAAAGATGATGACGTGGGGCTATTCATTTAGCCTCACGTCATCATCTTTATTCAACACACTGCAAGGAGCAAAGTAGTTTACAGCAACCTATGGCAGTCAACCAAAATATTTTTTTCAAAATCATACAAGTAGTACAATTTAGAATTTCATTGGTAACTACAGATTTCTGCACATTGCACTTTGTGTTTTACTCCTTGAACATTTTATTTATTAAATAGGCCTAGCCCTACTTGTTGCAATCAGTTAAAGTTGCATTTAGTCTCTTTCTCAGTGACTCTCAGAAACACACTGTCACATATAGTAATACACATGTACTCTCAAACTTGCCCTTATTCTTATTCAGCCCTTCTAACATGCTTTCACACTAACTTCTCTACACATACTGTCAACATGAATTCTAACGTAAAGACTCTCACTTACAAGCTATCACATTTCAGGGATCTCAAGTCTCCCTGATGTTCAGGGAGTCTCCCTCTTTTGGACAGCAGCTCCCTGATGTCAGCGAGAGAGGCATTTTCTCCCTGAAAGGTTTACTCTGAGTAAACCTTTATACATATTTACTAATTATCACACAGAGTCAGATTTATACATATTTATCCTCCAGGTCAGCTATTTTGTGCTGACCCCCACAACATATTTATGAAGAAATAAACACAACTGGAAATATGTGCCCGCAGAGATCCAATTGGTACTATACTGACAAAACCAGTAACATGTCTACAGAGACACAATGAACACCATACTAATACATCTAAAACATGTCTGCAGGGACCCAATCAGTACTGTACTGTCACCAGAGCCATAGCTAGCTCCTTTTGTGCCGAGGCAAGAACGGAAAATTGTGCCCCCCAACAGACGTGTGCAGTATGTGACGTCATGCACTCCGCCTCCAGGATGGCGGTGCGCATGGGCAGAATGCGCTGGTGGCCAAATCCAAAAATAGCATAAAACTGTGTTTCGTTTGACGAAACGAATGAAAACCTCTTTAGTTTCCGTTCATTTCGTCCAAAACAAATTTGTAGTCTTTACACATGTCTAATAATATGTAAGTGGGGGGGGGGGGGGTTGTTTTAATTTTTTGCTGTTGGGTGCTTCGGGGGAAATATTAGGGGCCTAAACAGATCCCTGACATTTCCCTGTTGAAATAGAAAAAGAGAAAAAGAGGCTGAGGACACAGAGTCCTCTGCCCATACAGGTGGGGAAGAGCAGCGGGGATCTGAGGCGAAGCTGGAGCCTATGCCGCCTCTCTTCTCCCTGCCAAGCCGTGGATGTGTTGGCCGCCTGGCGTCCCTGTTGCCAATGGCCCCCTGTGCTCGCCATGGCAACAGGGGTGAGGGGCGCATCAAGTGCCTCACTTGCCCCATGGTAGCTACAGCCCTGACTGTCACAGCCAGAAATACGTCCTCTGAGACACAATCAGTACAGTACTGACACAACCAGTATCATGGAATGTAGTTCCCTGGAAATGGTAGAAATGTGTTTTACCACCTCTAATGCACCACTGATGGTCCCCGAAAAAGGGTAAGTCAGAAGAAGCATACTACATATGGAAAAGGTTTTTCTGCTAGCCAACATATTGCAGGTAAATGTGTAAGACCCTTCCACATATTCCATACTACCGCATACATGTGCTGTATGTTGCTTACTACTGACCACTGTACTGTATACACTTTTTTATATGTTACATAGTTCTGACTAGTGGACTCTATTCACTGGGTTGTTTGTTACATTGTCCTGACTGTATTCTGTGTGTAGAAAAGCATATGTAATAAAAGAGTTTAAATTCTGAAAATAATGTTTTGCCTTGAAGTTTATGCATTTCTGTGAGGTTCTTGCTTGCTTGCTTGTGAAGTGTTTTGTGGTTACAGGGACTGTGTTTTTGTGCTCTGTACAACAAGTAGGCTGATCTAAAACTAATTAGTCATGCACTACTAAGTCGCACCAACTATTCAGCATAATATGACCAAGAGGGGGTTTTGCCGCAGCACTCTGTGTGCGCCACAACTTTACTTTCTCCTCTGTATCAGAGTATGGCCACCAAGTCTGCATCTCTGTTTGTTCTCCTTCCACAACTGCCCTAAAGGTGTATGTACACCCTAAGAATCAACTTCTCTTATTTGCTCCCTTTTGGTCCATTATGGTTTAGACCATTAAAATAATGTTTTATATTAAATAAGTGACAAATGATCTACTGATTGTGCTAGAAATCCAGTGATCTTCTAACTTCCTGTGGACTTTATACAGTATATAGTTGTATTAAGCCCTGAGTGGGTTACTTCTATGAGATACAGACCACCTCCCCCATGTTATGGAGATGAGGAGGGGGGAAGAGTTTTGTAATCCTAACATTTTCTGTCATAGTGTAATGATGTTTTTTGAAACCTGACACTGCATTGTTGTCCAGGCAAACACACACACAGTCCTGTTTCAATTCTGCTTCCTCAAGAACCTAGAAGCATACAACAAACACAAGCTGCATCATGATTTCTGATGATCTGTGTGCTGTGTGGGTAAGAAGCATCTTCCAGCCACAAGTTCCTACCCCTGTTCTTCCGCTTTCTTTATATGTCCTACAGTCCCAGGCTCTTAACTCGCGTGCTATATTATTTCCACATTCCCCTTTTTATTGTACTGCTTTCTCCCCTAATATGTAGCTTGCACTCTGCCTCCTGCCCTATGCTGGGCTTCATGATCCTAAGTTCTCTCTTTGGCTTTTAAAACTGTACACTGATGCCTAGGCCAACTTGAGCGGATATATTTAATCCTCCCCCCCTTCTATACTTAGATCAACCCCGCTCCTATATGCTTACCTACCTTCTTCAATAGGTTAACAACTTTTCTTTCCCCCCATACTTTCAAATCTTGAAGTACTACTATAACCTGAGTATTTAATTATTACATAGTAAAGTCAAGGTTGTTTAAGATACTTACAATTTTTTTTAAATATTTGTTTACTTGTTCATCCTATTTACCCACTATTTTGATCCTTTCTAAGGCAGGTGAGAGACATGCTGGTCTATCGGTTATGTTTTGACAACCCCCTTTTATAAAGATATAATTACTATGATCTATTTATGATTATTCACTGTACTGTATTTTAGACATGTGCACCAGCAAAAAATTCGTTTAGTTTAGTTTCGTTTAAAAAAAAAAAAAAAAAATTAGTTTAGTTTCGTTTCGTTTTTCGAGTCCGAAATTAAATTAGTTTCGGACGAAATTCGTTTATGAAAAAAAAAACATGTGCATGTGCACCAGCAAAAAATTCGTTTAGTTTAGTTTCGTTTAAAAAAAAAAAAAAAAATTAGTTTAGTTTCGTTTCGTTTTTCGAGTCCGAAATTAAATTAGTTTCGGACGAAATTCGTTTATGAAAAAAAAAACAAAAAACTTTACTCTCCAATGGCTGGACTTGAACCAGCAAACTTCACAATGGCAATCACTTGCAAGCCTGTACCTCTATCCACTACTCTAAGTATAGAAGCATTTGATATATATGACTGCAATATGTAGCAGTTGACAGCTGAGGATGTAAACGAATTTCGGAACGAACCGAATCGCACATGTCTACTGTATTTCTTACATTTATATTTTGCTGCAGGGTGAGCATCCCTTGTACTGTGGGAGATTGTTCTTGCTATTCTGTTACCTTTAAAATTTAATATATGTTTTGTAAAAGAAAATATGTTTACTCATTCTATAAAACTGTTTATGTGTGATGTTTAAGTGTTTTTATCTGTATGAATATTAAATATTTTAAAAAATTAGCATTTCTTTTGACTAGATTTGATTTGATGAACAAAATGTTATTTCTTTGTAAATCCCTAAGTTTATACCAGGGTTCCCCAAAGTGGTACTGTTCCCACCACTTCTGTCCCCACCAACTTTCTTCTATTCTGTACTCTGCACTCTATTGCCTATTCCACACTGCTTCATTCTGTACACTCCTAATTTCACACTGCCTCATTTTGCATGCTGTGTTGTGCATTCCCATATTCTGCACTGATTCATTCTGCACGCTGTGCATTATCTATTCCACACCCCCTCATTTTGCAAACTGTGCAGAATGTTCCCTATTTAACACTGCATTATTCTGCATAGTTCGCTGTACTCTCCCTATTCTACACCCTGTCATTTTGCACACGACGCTGTATGTTCCCTAGTTCACACTATCTAATTCTGTATACTCCACTGTAGGTTCCTTACTTTGCTCTTTGTACACTTTGTTGTACATCGCATGCTTCTTTACAAGGTGTTTATTGTCTTAGTCACTGGTTTCTAAGTAGTGCCTAACTTTTTTAATTAAATTCTTCTTTAACGTAAAATTTGATACATTGTTAGCACTCTCTCTCTATATATGCTGTGCACAGAAATGTAATGTAATGAAACAGTGTAATTTTTTAAAAGATCCTTTATCCTGAGATGTTATTATGTCTCAATTGTGGCCTGGGCCGCCATCAGGGGGGTACG